ACTTCTGCATAAACAAATTAAATTTGGGTAGACAATAACACAAATGTTGTTCATCATTAAGTTTTCTGGATTAATAATGACCAGAAAAACAGGCCACCTCGGTGTTGCAACACCGTCTTCGTGCAGTTGCATGGATGCTTAATTGAATCTCTTTCGGAGAGCCACTCTTTAGCTAACTTTTCACTGAAACTGAATAAATAGGTGATGGTTGAAAATTTGATGCATTCTTGGAACATTTATTGGTGTCGTACTTTATTTCAATGCTAAGTATCTTGGAACAAGAAGCTTAACTTCTTCAGGGTCAGAGCCACATTGATTGTGTGGGCTTTGCTCTCCTCTGGATGTGAGTCTGTTGTTCCTGTGATTGTTAATGGATGTCACATGTGTGCTCAGGGGAAGAAAACAAGGGTGCTCCTGTGCAGACAAGCACCTTCTGCTGTCCGAGACTTAAAGTCAGTTCTTAGGGACAGGGGTAAAGGGCCCCAGGGGCCACAGAGGCGTCAGAAGATGGATGTCATGAGCCTGTGTTAGGATCAGCATGGCACACAACTCTATCGGTTATTACCTACCACCTAGCTACTGTACCAGACTATGACCTTGTTTCCTGCTTAATGGCCTACCTTGCTGTTCAGGTCATACAGCCACCCAGCTATTAATTTTCCATTAATACTATCTCTGTGCCCACTATGTGCCCAGCACTCTTCTGGGTTCTGGGGAAACAGCAGGCACCAGAACAGACAAACATCCCTGCCACCATGGAGCTTAGATTCTTGACATAAATGGAAATATACAGCATGTAAGCTAATGATAACTGCTTAGAAGAAACTGTAAATGAAGGAGGGACAGGGGATGGGACATGTTGGGGAGGGGAGGGCAATGACAGGCTAACTCCTGAGGCAGTGACTTAGTGAGCAAAGCCCTGAGGGACGTGGGAGAGCATCCGTGGATATCTGGGGGAAAAGCATTCCAGGGAGAGGGAACAGCATGTGCAAACACCCAGAGGCAGGAGTGTGCCTGGAGATAAACAAAGGGCAGTGGGAGGAGATGAGCCCAGGAAGGTGGCGGTGGGGAGAGGATGCTCCTGGTGGATGACTGGCTCCACGGGCAGCTAGTTCAGCAACTGCACACAGCAGGTGTCCTATAAACATCCACCGAATGACAGCACACTGCCCTGTATATGTTCACTGCACCCTGTACATTCTAGGCCTGGCTCTCAATGGTCTTTCATAAATACAGAACAGAATTTTGCTAAATAAATAGGTGGCAAATAGGAAATTTCTCTGGGAAATGCTGCAAGATGGGAAGTTTTAAGGGAGGAAGCATGTCATTGGGAACCATGGGAAAGCTGTGCATGGAACCAGGGTTTAAGGACGGCGGTGCTGAGTCCCTGCAGCCCAGAGGCCATGGGTGTCAGACAGCACCTCGTGGGAACCTGTCAGTACTGCTCCTCTCTGCAGCTGCTCACGGATACCCAATCCTGAATGTCGCACTGATGGCAGTCCTGCTGGGGTTGTGGGCGCCTATAGCCCCTGGCCAGCATGCACCCACTGCAGCAGAGGAATCAGTGTGGGCTGGCCACCTGGGGAGGGATCAGCTCAGTGGCGTGATGTCTGACCACATCTCCTCAGACCAGTGTGCCAATACTGGCCTCAGTGCAGACACTCAAGCTCAGCTCTGCCAGGATGCTCCCTGCCTCGCAGGTCTAAACAGCTTCTAGAAAAGCTTCAGGGAACTGTGGACTTGCAAATCTTGAAACGTTCCTAATTCCCAAGTTAGAAACCAATGGGCTCTCTTTAATTTGTCACTGTCTTTCCTCCATTGCTGAACCCCCTACGTTTGTTCCCATGACAGAAACTAAAGTTCCCACCTTCTTGGTTTGGGGTCTACAGCCACATCCCTCCAGGTGGCATACCCTCTCTCTCTCTGCCTCCCTCACCGCCAGCACCACCCGCTTCCAACAACCCAGGGGCTGTTCTGGCGTATCCCCTGCCCAGCGCTTTTCCAACTCTGCCCTCTGCTGCCCACCAGTGACTCTTCCTCATCTGCTTCAAAGAGCACATTCTGGGGAAACTCCAATTCCTGTAGGAATCCACTGCTGCTTTCCTGAGGTCTGGGCCACCATCTAAACACCCACATACCCACAGCCTCTGCCCACGAAACCCAACACAGGTTGCTGGAGAAGCCAGTGGCCCTTAATCCTCTGACCACAGTGCCCGGGGTGGTCAGAGAGAAAGTTGGGTGCTTTTGCAAATTCTTTCTTTTGCTGGCTTTGAAACTCCATGGCCTCTCACACCAGTGTCCCGCAGAAGTGGCACCTGGACACTTGACGACCCTGTTCCCATCACAGTGCATTAAACAGTTTGCAGACCAGTGATCTAAGAGACCTGCAGTTTTCTTTCTTTTACACTCCTCACCACTGCCACCTGTGGCACCACATTTGGGGATCCTTGTCCAGAGGTGACAATCTCTGTAGCAAGCTCCTGCTACCAACATTCCCAGACCTTGTCAGTAGCAGCCATTTTTATCTGTAAAATAGCTCTATTTGGATTTTTTCCCTCTCAAGAAATAAGTCTTGGGTTTCATTAAAGCAAAGCATGATAATGAAAAAGACAGCTTTGAAACCAAACCAGCAGGTTGACTTCTGATGGCTCCTTCTCAATTTTACTGCTGCTTCAGTGTGGTCCCCAGTGACAACTTCCAAGGGGGCCTGAGAAGACAATGCTCCCAGTCAGGGAGAGCTGGTGCATCACCGAGGGGAGGGCGCAGGCTCCTGCTCCGTCTGGAGAACAGCTTCTGCCACATCCATCTGCAACACCAGACTGCTCACAGCCTGCCAGATGAGCTAAACATGCATCAAGTGACCCCCTCAGCCGGGA